TCACGCTATATGTCGAAAATACCCAATATTCACGGCCTCCGTACGAACTCTAAATACAATAACCCAAACTAATTTTTTTATATGTTTTAGAAGAACATATAATTAGTTAATGACGTAAGTTTCGTGAGGAAAAAATCTGGGGCACTTAGTTAAAATGTTTTTTGCGTGGCAACGGTACATCGTAATTTTCGCCATTTGTGAATACCATACGATTCTAAATATCAGCTGTCAGGTTTTAATTAATAGCTAAAATTATTACTTTATGCCAAATCAAGTCTCAAACATCTCTTCTATCGACTTACAAACGTATAGTTTTCACATCTTTTTCCTACTTTGCATGCGTTATTTGTTTTTGAACCTGTTTGATTCAACTGAAAATTTGCATATTCTTGAGGTCGCCGACAGCCGAACGGTTTTTCTCGGATTTCTCGGAGTTTTAACGGTTTTTGAAAAACAAACCATATCACGTTTGTTTACTTGCTAATGCCTTCCAGCAAACCAAAAATGAGCAAAATCGAAATTTTGAATGTGTCCGCGAATTCTCGATTTTGCTCCATTTTAGTGGACATCTGCTCTTAATATCTTTATATTTTCCCTCTGATATTTTTCGTGCAATGAAATCTATAACACATAACAGTCACATGTGTCAATCATATTGTATGATTGTGTCTAAAAATAACATGTGGGCGTCCCACGGTTTAGATAGGTTTTGTGTCAGGCCCTATTTCAAATTAGGGCCTGAACTTCAGGTTATGTAACATCTGGCAAGCAGACATACTTCCGGCTGGTCAATTTCGACCAGCCGGAAGTAGATGGCCGCATTGACTTATCACGTGTTTAGGGGGGGGGGGAGGCGACATCTGGACTTTCAGAGTTATTTGTTTAACATAAGTAATTTTGTATTCACGAGATTTCTTGTAGATTTCACATCACTTTTGACTGCGTGCATTTGGAATTTTGGGCATTAGTTTTGCAATTTATTGTAAACAACGATTATAAGAAGAACGGATAAATTACAAATCAGCCGTAATCGTCATAAACCTCGATGACCACCAGTGTTTTTGTGTTTGACAATTTATATTTCATTAGATATTTATATGCAAGGTCAGTATGTTTACGGGTTATCATATAAAATGATCATTCTAATGAATGAATTGATAAAACGAATTATTTCTATTAATTAATATGTACGGCCGCGTTTTTTACACGAAACGAAACGTTTAGCTTGATTGTTGAATAAATCGATGACTTGCTTAGTTGCTTTCTGTTTTGAGCTTAACCACCGTTTAAGCTAAACGGGCTTGATCAACTGGCCCCAGACTCGGCCCCAGATAAACATTTTTGTATTATCGAGATCGAAACTATAGTAAATTGGAAACCGTGTCAATAATAAAAAACGTACAATGAACTTATGAACATGTGAAAATTGTCACGCCCAAAATTTTTAAAAATTTGTATAAATTTTGGGCGTGACAATTTTCGCATGTTCATAAGTTCATTGTACGTTTTTTATTATTGACACGGTTTCCAATTTACTATAGTTTCGATCTCGATAATACAAAAATGTTTATCTGGGGCCGAGTCTGGGGCCAGTTGATCAAGCCCGTTTAGCTTAAACGGTGGTTAAGCTCAAAACAGAAAGCAACTAAGCAAGTCATCGATTTATTCAACAATCAAGCTAAACGTTTCGTTTCGTGTAAAAAACGCGGCCGTACATATTAATTAATAGAAATAATTCGTTTTATCAATTCATTCATTAGAATGATCATTTTATATGATAACCCGTAAACATACTGACCTTGCATATAAATATCTAATGAAATATAAATTGTCAAACACAAAAACACTGGTGGTCATCGAGGTTTATGACGATTACGGCTGATTTGTAATTTATCCGTTCTTCTTATAATCGTTGTTTACAATAAATTGCAAAAATAATGCCCAAAATTCCAAATGCACGCAGTCAAAAGTGATGTGAAATCTACAAGAAATCTCGTGAATACAAAATTACTCGTGCTAAACAAATAACTCTGAAATGTCGCCTTCCCCCCCTAAACACGTGATAAGTCAATGCGGCCATCTACTTCCGGCTGGTCGAAATTGACCAGCCGGAAGTATGTCTGCTTGCCAGATGTTACAAGTCTCTCTTCTCTTTCCTCCTCTCCCCCTCAGCGGTACGTCATGTAACGTACAATATAGATGTACAATATATAGATGTCCACAAAGAGAGACTTGGAGCAAGTCTATTCCGAATGTTGTCAAAAACTAAAAATGGAAGCGACTTCGATGTTTTGCTTTTTCTATGAAAACGCAAGCGGAATAATGAACGTGACAACCTAAAAACTAGAAATAACTATAGTCTACATGTGCAAGAAGTAGTATTATGCAAGAAAATAAACCAAAGGTGATTGTCGATAAATTTATTGTACAAAACGTTCTTTAACTGAAGTCCATACAAAGATATTTTTCGTAGGTTCATGTGATCCACATTTTTGTCAATAACTTTTTTTGCGTAGCATGTATAATTTTTGCGTGGACTATATTTAAGGGTAATGATTTGCTCCACATTTTAATCGTGTGCAAATGCTTAACTATTCGATAGGTTTCTTAACTTTTGTGCTTAAGTTCGGTATTCGACAATTTTTCAAGAAATGTTCACACGCCTTCCGGTCTTAAACGGTAATTTTTAATTAGCCCGCGTGCAGGCCCAAGGGAACTGATAGTACGCCCCATTCGCGCGTCAATTGTCAAAAAAGAACCAATGACAGCACCAAAATATCAACAAACAAACTCGCATTAAAATGTTGCGGGGTTTTCTCTGCTTATTCAGAACATAAACAATGTGTAAATGGCAGCGTTTTAACTCCAAAAAAGCAAGCAACGCAGTCAGTAATTGCCAAATTTGCAAGTGCTCATTTTCAACTAAAATCGGAACAGGCAAATTAGGACGACTTTCAACAGAAAACCATGCAGTCTCAAACTTCAAATCGTGAGGGAAGTCGTGCGACCACATTAGCATTTATATTATGTGTGCTTCGCTGCCGCCATTGGCATTGTTATAAATAAATTGCCTCACTTATCAGATCGTGTGTGCAATTCTTGTTGGCGGCGGAAAGTACGAAATTTATTTCAGTTATTTCATTTGGTAAAGAACTCTACAAAAGAAGAGAGCGTTCAGAGTCCAGATCGTTTCGTTTCAAACGGCAATTTAATACCGTCTTCTGTTTCGCTCTCTCAGCGAAGCCTTGTAAATCGCAAAGTGTTTCGAATAGGCTTACATGCATGCAACTGCATCTCAACATCAACCAAAAGATAATTTTCTTGAGGAACATATAACGTATCAAGTCTGTTTGAAATTAATGAAACTCACGTAAAGGTTACTATATAGTTTACCCCAGTAGTAATGTTGCTATTCCAGCACCTCACGACAAGCAATCCCCATTGGCATAACGGCAAAAACATCTCTTCCTTCAAGTAAACAATCAACAGTCTGTTCTTGTTCCATTTATAATCGAAAAAAGTAATCAATTTTCGAATTTTGAGCTTATCGAGAGCCTTTGTGATGAATCACTGACCTAATTATAGAATCCAACAGCAAACAGCCAATCAGAATGCCGCGTTCGTGGGCGAACGCGGAAAGTACAAAATACCGGGCCTTGCTCGCAGGCCCACTATCAGTTCCCTTGGGCCTGCACGCGGGCTAATTTTTAATTTAAATTCTGTTTCTTTTTAGATTTTAAATGTTAGAAAATTTTTTATTAATGTCTAAAATACCCGTCTAGTGTATTTTGTGTTTGTTTCAATTATCTTAAATAATTAAAAAGCCATGCTTTTGTTTACAATTTGGCATTTAAATTCCTCCCCATCTTTTTTGTGCCCCACGCATGCGCTAACGTTTTTCCGCGGTGTTGGCTGAATGGCTTTCAAAACAGCTTGGCGTCAAATAATCGCTTTCCTTTTACAGTAGAAATTGAACCGGTTCGGCCGCCCCCTCACTTTTGATTGCATGACAGCCACGACTATTTTATAAGCGAAAACAACTGCACTGTCTGAGCATTTTTATGGTAAAAATTAAAAAAAGACACGGCAGCACTGTTCTGATCGATCAATACCTTTGCTATAGAACTTTCTCAGAAACTAAACTCGAGAGATGATCACACATGCAGTAGGAATTCTCGCGTGGGAGAGATGACCGGAAATTGTTATTTCTTCAATTAACAACCGTCATGTCGGTGGTTTACGATAGACTTTACTTTTCTCGGCTTGAACGTTGATTTTCAAATGGTCTCAAATCTACTTTGCCAGTGGCTGTAATCTGATCAGATGGGCCTTTTTTTAAGGTATTGGCAAAGCACGTGCGGTCCGTGTTTTATCAGATCTAGGCTAATTAAAACAATCGGCTGCCGTTTTAAATCCGATAAGACATTCACTTCAAATCGGCTGATACTATATAAACAATTCATTCAATTTAACAAGATATATAGCACGCCTATATTTACATAACTATGCCGTAACTCATTGTAAAAAGCATTAAATTTTCATTAAACTGTCCATAAGATATTGTTTCTTTAGAAAGATATTTATAAAGCTGCTACATATTTCTTTAATTGAAGGTTGAACAATTAAGGTGCTCACGTGATGAAAAATAAATTTAAAATAGACATAGTTAATCTAGAACATTCCCGGATCTTCCCCCTCCCTTGGTGGCGCCACTATAGCATCAATAAAAACATAAAAGATCTTAATTGCTTACCAATTCTGTAGTAAGAGATGCAACATATTACGACTAACCACAAATAGGTATGCATCATCGCCTTGAATTTCCTGTGACAAAAGTGGGAAAAAACAATAATAAGTACATTTTCAGTAAATTAAATTTTATATATATATATATATATATATATATATATATATATATATATATATATATATATATATATATATATATATATATGTGATTTGGTGTGGATGCGTATCAAGCCTATACTCAGAAAATATCTGAGCCATAACGGGAATTGAACCACGTAACCTTCTGATAACCGGACAAACCCTCTAACCATTGAGCTATAAGGCATCAGATGTTGAGCCAAGCTTACGTTATTTACTAGTTCTCATGTGTGTTACATGTGTACTGCTAACTGCAAGTCTCGACATGTCTTGTTGATGTTATTATTAAGAACTGCATTTCTGTATATGTGTGTTTTTGTGGCAGCTTGTAGAATATGTGATTTGGTGTGGATGCGTATCAAGCCTATACTCAGAAAAATTCTGAGTCCTAACGGGAATTGAACCATGTAACCTTCTGATAACCGGACAGACGCTCTAAGCATTGAGCTAAAAGGCATCAGATGGTGAGCCAAGGTTACGTTATTTACTAGTTCTGTGTGTTACATGCCTTGGCTCATTATCTGATGCCTTATAGCTCAATGGTTAGAGCGTCTGTCCGGTTATCAGAAGGTTACGTGGTTCAATTCCCGTTAGGGCTCAGAATTTTTTTGTCATACCGCCTGATGATTCTTTACTGATGAAAAAGACTGTTGCGGAATTTTGAGGTAAGCGAAATTCTACATTTGCTCTATCTTTATGATATTGAGCACTCTTTGCGTTTCGTCTACACAACTCGCTCCCGGTGTTCCGTGTTCCGGAGTCATGTTGTTCTGCATGTGTATCGGTGTCCCTGGTTTTGTTAATAGCAACCCCTAGTATATCATTTGATTGGTAATTTCTAACAAATCAAAAAATTTTGGTGTTCCGGAGTCATGTTGTTTAGGTCTTCCGCTGTTTCGTGTTCCGGTGTTCTAATGCTCCTGTGTTCCTGGTTATACTAATGGCCAGCTAATTTTATGTTCTGAATTAAAATTTTACTTTGACAAATTTGTAACATTCCTCAAGGTGGAAAAAATGCTTATAAATGGTAGATTTACTAGTTTATCATGATTTCGTAATTACACGCCATTGACTATAATACGGCAATGCTATTTCCTGAATAGACAATCAGCTAGTAGGGAGTCTGAGCTTCGCGTTCGTACATTAATTACTAGCTGTACGACATATATACATACATATAATAAGACATGGAAAGGGAGAAATTCGTTCATGTCATTAACATCACAAATAAATTACATACCGTTCCCAACTTGGCCTTGTAGCTCAGAACTCAGAAGGTAGAGCGTCTTTCTAGAAATGCGAAGGGCGCGGGTTCGATTCCCAGCCGTGGTCAAGGAGAATTAATTTCTTCTGCTTGCCCGGCTCATACTCGTAAGAAGCTCAAAACACCTACACATTTACATCAGTTGAGTTATATATATATATATATATATATATATATATATATATATATATATATATATATATATATATATATATATATATATATATATATATATATATTGCTAATTAGGTACATATATATATTGCTATATATAT